CCCTTTTTTTTTTTTTTTTTATTCCTCACTACTAAATTCTCTGTTTGCCTTCCCAAATAGAATATAAGCTTCATAAGGGTATGGACTTTGTTTTGTTTACTTCTGCATCCCAACTCCTAGTACCATGTCTGGCCCTCCGTAAACAAACGTCTGTTGATCAATGAAAGGAAATACCAAGATATTATTCTCTTTATGCGTTAATGATTTTAAAGTTAGTAGAATTCTTCCCTGACCATTGTTGCTCTGACTAGTATATGTAATTTGCTTGAATTTTCTTACCTAATATTAGTGATAGGAATCCCTTAGTATTTACTCTTGCTCAGTCATCTAGATAAACTTTTACTTCTTTTAGATAGTGTGGAGCATGAGGAGGGGGAAAAGAAGTTGTTAGTAATGGAGTTGTAAAATGGGGGTTGGGGGTGCCTGTCTGTATTTTCACATTACACAGGGTAATAAAATGGAGGAGGGGGTATTGGGATAGGAAAGTGGATTGAAAATTTTTTATAGTTCAGTGCTGTAAATATGTCTAAGGTTTTGGGGCAAGACAGTTGGTATTATAGGTAATTGAAGCTTAGGGAAAGGTGAAAGAGATTCATAGGAAGAAAGATTAGTATTATTTGGAGGAAATGTAGGCTATATAGATTTGTGGCCAAAAAAATCCACAAATCATATTTCTATTACTTTAGTCGAGAATCTTCATTTAAAATCTTAGCTTTCCCTGTCAGCTTTGCAGTCATTCTTTCACTTTACTAACTTGATGCCACTACCATACTTTGTGTTCATGGAATCATGTGTCCTGTAAGCACAGACTAGACTCTTCATACTCTGCAAAGGCTGGAAGTTCATTTTAACTCCTGGTTTGTTCCAGGAAGCACCCTGCCAGTAAAAAGTAATCCAAACATGTTGAAAACTCTAGTTCTTTTATTTATTTTGCATTCAAATAAATTTCTAGCGAAAGAAGTAAATGCAGACTTCTCAATAAAGGTAAAACCTTTTTTTGGTCTTACATCTTTAATTAAGAAAAACCTGTGTTATGTAAATGAGTAGCTTTTTTATAGTAATATGAATAAATTATTTGGTTTGTGAATATATTTAAGAAAAACAATTAACAAAGTGGTGTATACTTTTTAAATTGTGACAGCAGGCTTTATTTCAGTTGGTTTTTTTTTTCAGTGTTACAATTTTAAGGTTTTATAAAGTTTGATTAAAGAATAGCACTCTACCTGTAGTAGGTAATTTTTAAGGACTATTTCTGATTACATTCAGTTTAAATTCAAATGATGCATTTTAACCTGACACCTTCTTTCTTCTTAGTCTGTAAGACCTGTATAGTTCAGCACTTTGAAGACAGCAATGATTGTCCACGGTGTGGCAACCAGGTTCACGAGACAAACCCATTAGAAATGTTGAGGTAAGTCAATGTATTTTGTAGTTCATCTAACTTAAATAAGTTACAGAAGCACATACTAATCTTTATCATGCGTCCTAATATTTGTTGGCGCCTTGACTCAGTATATATATATATATATAGATTTTATACATTTTATGATTTTCATTTTAAAGCATTTTATTTCATTTTAGAGTATTAACACTTTGAAAAATAAGGCTATACATATTAAATACTTAATACATTTCCAAATTAAAAATTATAACTTTATATTAGTGTCTCAGGGTTAACTTAGTTGTAGTTTTTTTCAGTATTTTAATATTTTACACAATGCATGACTTGTATTGAGCTACATGGTAGTGGAAAGAGAGCAGACCTAATAGTGAGGAAGACTAATCTTAGTACTATTAAATTTTTTTAAATTTATTGTATGTTCAAAACAGAATTCACAAACACTTACTTAAAGCTTATAGAATTTTTAAAATTACTGTCATTTATGTAAGTATAATCATATATTTTTAAAGCTGGAAGTAGTAAGATCCTCATCCAAACCCTTTGTTCCAGGTTAGAAAATTAAAATTTACCATGGCTTTGCCTAAGGTCTCAGCAAACTCAAATGGCACTTCCCAGCTTCAAGCCAGGTGTCCTTACCACTAAACCTGCTTTTTCCCCACTGTTCCTATCATAGCTCTGTCACAAACTGTGGGATCTTAAGGAAGTACACATCTAAAAACAATACTGGATATTCTCTAGGTAGCCATATGTAATGTTCATTTCTGTGTGATGTTTGCTGTCATCCCATAAATCTGGATTTGCAAGTCAAACATTTCAAACTCCCCTCCCCCCTTGCCAATTTTAGTGCCTGTAATTGGGGTAATTTATCTACAGGTTAATGTCTAGCCCAGTGGTGTTCAAAGTATAGTCCCCAAACTATGAGTCTCTTGTTAGAAATGACAGTTCTCAGGCCCCACCTCTGACTTGCTGAATCAGAAACTTTGAGAGGAGCCCATTGTAGGTAAAAGCCTTCTGATGATTCTGAAATGTGCTAACACTGAGGGCCATTGGTCTCCGGTAGCCCATGGTCCTGAGCAAGGCTTCTGCTGATTGGATTTATATCAGTGCTTCTCAACCAGGGGTGATTTTGCCCCCCTCCCCCACCTCCAAGTGTATATTTAGCAGTGTCTGGAAGCATTTTTTTTTTAAATATGTTTTTATTGATTTGAGAGAGAGAAGTATCACCATCCATCGGCCACCCCTTGCTGGGAAGGTGCTTAAGATATCCAGCATCTGTTGGAAATATTGAGCTCAGCAGAGATGTAGTGTGTATAAAAGTTACCTGCTTATATGGTAGTTTAATTATAATTAAATATGTATTTAAGCTAACTTATATTTATATTAAAATTATATATAAATATATAGGTTATCTGCTTATATGAAGTCACAAAAGTGGACGAGATCCTCAAGGAAGGCAGCCTGCAGAAAAGGTCAAAGCGTGCAGAGCATTGGAAAAGACTTGATTTAGAGGTAGCTGGAAAAGAAAAATACTTAGGGACAGAAAAAAAGAAAACCAGGAAAGGACAATTTGAAAGAGGCAGTTAGAAAACCCTATCAAACTGCTGCAGAGCAAAATGGGAGAAAAATGTCTTCAAAAAGTTTTTAAACCTATTCAGTTGAAGTTATGGATGATCTGGGGAGTTCAGTAAAGGAAACAAAACACAGAATGTGTGACGAAAATAATGTCGATTATGCTTTCAAAGGTTTCCCAATTGGAAAAAAAGATTGGGAAAGAGCTAACAGCTTGAAAAGACAATAAGTTAAATAAAGGTTGGGTTTTTTAAGATGCAAGGAAACTATACATGTTTGCAGTTAGAGAAGAGTAATGCTGCTGAGCAGGATGAAGGTATGAAGAGAGTAAAGGGTGTTGTGGGAACAAGAGAATGAGAGTAAAGAAATGAAAGCATTGAAGAGGAAGAGTTACACTCTTACCAGGAAAAAAAACCCTAGAATAATGTTAAGATAAATATTTACATTCTTTTATCTAGGAAGATAGAATAAATGGTCTAAATTTCTCAGAAGAGAGGCGTGGAGATTATTTCCTTTACAGGAAAGAGCGAGAGTTTTGGTAGAGATTTTGAGAGTAATTATATCAGCTATTGCTGCAAACCAGCCACCCTTAAGTGTCATGATTAACAATTAAAAACAAAAACACATTTCTTTTTCCTCACAATTCTGTGATTCACAGATCTAAGTGGTTCCTCAGGTCTTGGCTGGGCTCACCAATGCAACTGCAGTTAGCTGCTGGCCAGATAGAACCAGCTGAGATCAGCAGGGCAGCTTAGTTTTCTTGTACTTGGCACCTCATCCTTCAGCTTTGTTCTCATGGATTCTGAGAGAGAAAGTACACAAAAGCATGAGGCGCCTCTTAAGGCTTAGGCACAGGACTAAGCACAGTGTCATACTATTGGCTTAACCGTATTTCAAGGCCAGCCCATATTCTTGGGGTGGGGAAAGAGACTCTATCCCTTAATCAAGGGAGGAATTCAGAGTGATGTTCGGAGTGTGTAGAGAGAGAGCTGGGGACTGGGACCATTTTTGTAATCAACCTGTCACTGTGGGAAAGGTTAGAAATAGGTGTGCTCCGCATGCAGAGGAGTTTGTTGTAGATGTGCTGATACTGTTGCATGTTCTACATTTGCAACACACATAAGATAGAGATTTCAAACTGCATATGCATTGGATTTTGCTGTCTTCATTGTTAGTATATTCTCTTTTTCCCTTTGGAAGGTTGGATAATACATTAGAGGAAATCATATTTAAACTGGTCCCTGGACTACGAGAACGTAAGTTGCTCTTTGGCTTCTTGCAGATTTTTGTGTTTTATGAAATCAACATTTCTATTACATATTTCATGATTATTTCTATTATTTTTATACTTCTTTTTTCTTTTAAATTAGAAGAACTTGAGCGTGAATCTGAATTTTGGAAGAAAAATAAGCCTCAAGAAAATGGACAAGGTGACTTTTTCTTACGTCTGTATCTGACAGCTTCTCTCAAATTGATTAGCTTTTTGTAGCTTTGGTCAGCTAATCTCTCTCTTCAACCTAAAGTTTCTCCTGTACATAATTCTTTATTTATATTATGAATCCTTTATATTAAAATCATGAGATCACTCTGGTTAAAGGTAATAGGAAATAGAGGAAATTGGACTTTAGGAAGAGAAAGAGGAGATAACAGAAAACTGACTACTGGTTATAGCAATATTTGCTGGAGAGCTGAAGGAAACTGAAGCAAGCCATAGCCTGCAATTAAACAGTGAGGGATTTTGTTTTGTTTTGTACATTTATTTGAATAGGAGAGGGAACTGAGATGTGCCTGAGAGCATAGCAAGGGGATCTTGGAATGAAGTTTTCATGGGTGGAGCTCAGGTGATAGAAATTTTTATATATCCTGGAATTTGAAAAATATTTCTAGGTGCTGATGGGAATTTTTCCCATTTTCAGTGCTGAGTATCCAAGCTTCTCTTCTGGGTCCCAGGAGATTCAGCAATCAGTACATTTTTAATAATTTCAGCTAAGTAACATTACTGGGCAGAGAAAAGGCTTTTAGGAAGTGTATAATTCACACAAAGGGAAAAAAAGTAAAACATACCTGAAATTATAAGGAAGTATCCTTTCCCATTATTTAATGTAAGATTTATTTCAAGATGACCTAAGTACCTCTGAAATCTCTGAAGGATGTATGTGTGTTTTTATAGGCTCTGTCTCCCATCTCTGGTTTTTCCGTAAGATCATAGGATTTTCAATTATATGTAATAATTAAGATGGGTGAAAAAAATGCTCTTTCTCTTTTCATCTGTAAAATGGGGATCATAGTTTCATTAGTTTAACTTAACTGTGCAGGGCTGGCTTCCTGTAGTAGGGACATAATTTTGAATGACTGGGATACAATAGAAAGGGATTATTTTTGCTTTATAACAAAATAGGCAAAGAAACAAAGCCTGAGAAGAAATGACTTAAAGGCTTGTATTACCCAAGTGTAAATTACAATTTAGACGATAGTATTGTAGTGAAAGCATAGATGATATAAAGTTGACGAAATGTTCCAATTTTTGACTACCTTTTCAAGAGGACAGGGTTCCAGGGGATCATTATCAGAAGCGATATGGTAGGTTTAGCTCTTGACTCTGTATCTTATAGAGTGACTTGTGAAGGACTGCAGCCCACTTTATTTTCCTCCCTTTTCCCATTATTTCTCCCTCTAAAGTATTTTATAATATTTGGTCTTTAGTTTGGATGGAGAATTTGGATTTTTTCTTGGATCTGGGAGTTTGGTTCTTAAAAGGCGACTTAGTATCTGTGTGGTTTCCATATAAATATGTAGAAGAAAGAATGCAAAAGAGAACCCACTTGTTTTTCATGATAGAACGACAATGCTTATACTACAGTCATCATAGAGGAGCCGACCTTTTTTTCTTGGGCTTTTCCATACTGTAATGCTTGGCTGGCTAATTCTTTCTAGTTTCAGCTTAGAGATATTTTATCTGGAAATCTTCACCCCAAAGTTTGAGTTTATTACCTTTGTTACATGTTGCCATGGAGTCTATTTTACCTCTTCCATCAAAGGCCTTGTCTGACTTCTTCATCTGTTTTCTCTACTTTCCTGTATCTCCTCCTATATCCTGACCATGTGAGGATGTGGATGATAACTCTAGTCTCAATATTGTTCCCTCAAGCCTAGCACAGTGCATATCTAACAGAGTTAAAGGCACCCAGTGAATGAAGGAATCAAGAAATACACATGTACATGTTTAAAAAGATAATTCATTATATTATATTTAACCAGCTGATTTTATGAATACCTAATAATTTGAAATTTTGAGAAGTAAAAAGAATATTTTAGTTTTAAAAGAGTACTCAGTTTTAAATTTGAATATATATATATAGAATTTGGAAGTATTTTATATCCTGTCTACTTTCTAAGTGATCTAATCACTAATTGCAATTATTTTGTGACCAAATATAGCTAGTCCTGAATCTTTCATTTGATATCCCAGTGAGCCTAGATACCTTAGACCATGTTAGGAAGTCACTGATGATTTTTTAAAATATTTTCATTGTTGAGTTAGTTGGAATATTTTTAAAGGTATTAAAATTTCTTCATCAAAAACTGTTAAATCTTTTTTAAAGGTGAGTTTTGTTTTGATGATTAATATATTGTTTCTTAACTTTAATTACTGATTTTGAATTATATCTTGGTTTTGTTTAAATTGTCAGATGATACTTCCAAAGTTGACAAACCTAAAGTAGATGAAGAAGGTGATGAAAATCAAGATGATAAAGACTATCACAGAAGTGACCCACAAATTGCTATATGTCTAGATTGTTTACGAAATAACGGACAATCAGGGGACAATGTAGTAAAGGTAAGTGGACAAGTACAGTTGAATTTTTTACAATTATTTTATAGTAAACCTTTGATAAAATTTTTATTAACATAAGCAAGTAGAATACCATTCTCTGACAGTCCCATACCTACAAATGCCCAAGCAATTATTGCTTGCTCCAGGTACCTGATTTCCAACCCGCACAACTGAACCGTCCTGGGCCAATGCCACCACCTAGTGGCTCACACAGAGAACCACACCTCTATTTCTTGTTCCACCTCCTTCTATACCTTTGTTGGGAGTTTATGTACATTGTTTTTCCCTTTTTAAGTGGGGATACCAACTCAGACTCAAATCATTTCACATTGGGCAGTGTCTCCAACCTTTTTGTTCAACTTCCTCTAACTTTCTCCTTTAGTTTTCTATTTTTATTTGTAACTCAACAAAACTCTTCATGTCATGGCTAATATAATTGGTTCTGAAGTAAAATTGGCTGTTGTAAACCGTGTATGAACTTTTAAAGTCCTTCAGGGCTCCCAGATGTTTCCTGTAGAATTTCTGTTTCTAACCCTGTTTCTCTCTGTATCTCCCTGCTAGTTGAACCTTTCTGTAAAGATCTCTATATTAGAGAATTTATAACACATACTTATTTTTTACTTTTTTTTTTTTTTTTAATTCTCACCTGAGGATATGCTTGGAGAGAGAGAGAGAAACATCAGTCAGTTGCCTTCCGTACTTGCCCCAACTAGGAATTGAACCCACAACCAGGTAAACCAGGTAAGTCCCCTTACCAGGAATCGAACCGGCAACCTTTTTGTGCACCGGACGATGCTCAACCAACTGAGCTTCTTGGCCAGGCTCTACTTCCTTTTTTATTACAAGAAACTTTTGTTTTCATTATAAATATTCACTACTTTACCACTTAAATAGATTTTTGTCACTTTGTTCTAGCAAATGTTAGCTGCTGAGAATATTGTTTCTCTTTTTGTAGTCCATGTTTTATTCAAATGACTATATTCAATGTCTCTTTCACTTCCACTGTGTGATCTGTAGGCCAGTGGGTTGAATTTTCACTAATTTAATAATATTTTTCTTTTAGGAAATGAAAAATAAATTTTTATTTCCAATTAAGTGTTCCCAGTATCTTGCAACAAAGAATATATGAGCAGAGTGATTCAGTGAATACTAACCCACTATGTTGATATTACACAGTGAAGATATAAATAAGGAAAAAAATTCACTCAAGGAACTTTGGTGAGGTCTTACACAAGGATAAGGCATGTAATAAAGTGCAGAAATCTTTAGAGAGGTGGCCATTGTACCTGTTTATCTTCCCAGGCTTCTCTGTTGCTTTTTTATGCTCTGATGGAGCGCCCTTTCTTTTTTGTAAGTCTTTTCATCAGGGTTTGTAATAACCTTACACTTCTTAATTGCTAACATTTCTGTAACCCCTATTTTGGGGGGTTCTTCATAATAGAGATTGTGATCATCCATTAGCTCTCTAATGAATGAGTTATTGTCTTGTAGAAAAGCTGAATATCTTTATAAATAAATGTAAAGTCTACTTTTCTGCAGGATTTCTAGTATGAATATAAGTATCCCAGTTGGGAGTTTCCCTGACACCTGAAACTTCCCATGTTTAAAGACAAATTCATTATTCTTTTTCCATACATACAATTTCAGTTATCATTAACATCTTTCAACCAATTATACAAGTCCACAACCTTGGAGTCATCTTGGACCTCTTTCCCTTCAGCCTGTCATAAGTCCTGAAAAACTCCCCAGTCCTAGTGCTGCTCACCTTATATGTAGATTATTTGAAGTAGTCTCTTAATTGTTTTGTACTCTTAATTTCTCTTATCCAAGGCTGAGTCCACAGCCGCAGAGGGTGAAGGCCAGAGTCACGGCCAATATCAGGATCAAATAGTAAATATTTTAGGCTCTGTGAGCCATATGGTCTCTGTTGAAGCTACTCAGCTTCCTCATTGTAACCCTAAAGTGGCCATAGACAATAGTGAATGAACTGGCATGGTTGTGTTCCAATAAAACTTTACTTAAGCCAACTCTGGCTGGCCATCTATTTTTTTGAGAGCTGTGGTCATAGTTTCCGATCTTCTGGCCAATAGAACAAAGTCTTAATCCCTTCCCGATAGTAGTCAAGGCTTTTAACTATTCCCTATCTTGATAAGTTTATCTCCTATGATACCCATCAGTGAAACTTCCTCTCAAAACATGATTATTGCTTTATATATGAGTACCAGCATATACATTGGCACTCAGACCTGACAAAGGACTTGCATCCAGGATATATAAAGGCTACTACTAAGAATACTTACAACCCTCTAAAACTTTGAAGAAGCTTTCCTTTTTGGCATGTTCTTCCCTCTTCCCACCACTTTCCTATGTTTCTGTCAAGACCCAAGCAGAGACCTCTATTCTTTGTGATGCTTTTTCCACCCTAGTGAATCCCTTCTCTGAAATTCTGTGGGACTTGCATTTATCACTCAATTAGGGTGTAGTTTGTTAGTTATTAAGTCAGCATTGATTGTATTCCTGAAGGCACCAGGGACTGATGCTGTTTTTTATCTTTTTTGGTGGTGTCCTTGAAACATTATAAACTCCTTGAAGGCAGAGAAACAATATCTATGTTCCTTTATAGCCTCCTCAGCCATCTCCTTCCTTTGCAGTAGGATATGATTCTCAAATATGGTGTTGGAGTAGTTACATGGATAGTTAACACAGTATAGCTACTGCTTTTTTAAAAAAAAAAAAAAAAAAAAAAAAGCCAATGCCAAGAGCAGGAAGGCAGTGAAAATAGTAAAGACCTCCAAAAAATTTGCTCCTCCATAAAAGCAATGAAAAAACTGACAAAAACTTTCAAAATCAACTTTTTCAGAATTCTAATAACCAAAGGTTTGCAGAAGTCTGTGGAGCATTTAATCAAGAAAAATGTCTGGCTTTGTGCCATTTTAACTTGTGTTGGTCCCATTCCCCACTCTCTGGAGAGTCTTGAAAAAATAGCCCACATTCCCACTGCGGCCTCTCCGGCACCAAAGGGACAAAACAGAGGTGGAGCTCTTTCAAAACTAAATTGCCAAGTAATTGTCATTATTTGACCTATCTGGTGGTTCCCGGAATACCTCACTCACAAGGAGCTTTGTAAAGCTCTGACATATTCTTGGGAATCTAAAAGGCCAAGCCACTTACACAGGACTATATATACATACTCAGGAAAGGCATGAATAGGTGTGAAGCTCTCCCTTCTGGCTGACCCTGAGGCTCTGCAGGAGCAGGAAGTGAAAACTAAGGCAGAGTTTCCAACAGCCTGATTTAGTGTTGGAGGTGTGCCCCAAAACACATACACAGAGTCTTCAGCAAAGACTGAGAGACTTATTGTTTCCAAGTGTATAAGGAAATCTGTTCAATCATTAGCCAATCACTAGATGGAAAAAATAGAGACTACAGAATTAGTTTAGGTAAGTCATTAAACAAAGAGAAACAGCCACAACAGTAAACCCTTAGGGGCCAGCGGGAATCTGATTTTCCAAGGTTGTCACATTATATTATTTTAAATGTTCAATTTTCAACAAAAAATTGAGCCAGATAGAAACAAGAAAGTATAACACATACACCAGAAAGGAAGCGGTCAATAGAACTGTCCCTGAAGAAATCCAGACATTGGACTTGCTAGATAATAGATTTCAAATCATCCATTTTAAGTACGTGCAAAGAACTAAAAGAAACCATGTCTGAACAATCTCACCAAATAGAAAATATTAATAGATAGAAATTAGTTTTAAAATATTCTGGAGTTGAAAAGTATAATAACTGAAGTGGAAAAACCAGGGATAAATTTTCATTACCTTGGATTTGGCCATGGATTCTTAGACATGATCCGCACCAGCATCAAAAGAAAATATAAACCAGACTTCATCAAAATTAAAAGAACACTGTCAAGAAACTGAAAACAACCTACAGAATGGGAAAAAATATTTGCAAATCACATGTCTGGTAAACTTTTAGTATCCAGAATTTATAAAGAACTCTTACAAAATCAACAACAAAAAGCCCATTTTTTAAAAAGTGGGCGAAGAAGATACACAAATAACCAAATAAGCACATGAAAATATGCTAAACCTCATTAGGGCTATGCAAATCAAAATCACAGTGAGATACCACTTTGCACCCTCAAGGGAGGCTATTTTTAAAAAAGGAAAATAATAAATGTTGATAAGGTAGGATGGTGCAGCCAGTGTGAAAAACAATTTGGCAGTTCCTCAAAAAGTTAAACAGAGGGTTACCATATGACCCAACGATTCCACTCCTAAATATATACCCAAGAGAATTGAAAATGTACGTTCACACAAAATCTTGTACATGAATGTTCGTGACAGCATTATCCATAATAGCCAAAAAAAATGGAAACCCAAAATGTTCATCAGCTGATGAATGCGTCAACAAAATCTGTCATTCAAGCTGTAAGCTAAAATGAAGTACTGCTGCATGCCACAACATAAACAACATGAATGAATCTTGAAAACAGTATGTTAAGTGAAAGAAGCCAGACACAAAGGCCACACATTGTACAATTCCATTTATATGAAATGTCCAGAATAGACAAATCTGTGGAGAGAAAATAGATGAGTGGCTGGGGGGAGGGCCTGGGGCAAGGAAAGAAGGGCAGTGAATGCTAATTGGGTATGTGGTGTCTTCGTGTGGTGATGAAAATACCCTGGGAATAGATAGTGGTCATGGCTGCCCAGCTTCATGAACATACTAAGAACTACTGAACTGTATGCTTTAAATGGTGAGTTTTATGACATTTGAATTATATCTCAATTTTTAAAAAGTCTAGCTTGACAATTGCTTTAGTGGGTGGAGATACTAACCATACCATCTGAAGATGAGAGAAAAAAACCTTGTAAGGGGTTTGGGTTTAAGAAACCAACAAAGACAAAAAAACTCAGTAATCATTATCATAAGAACTAGAATTTTTTAAATTGTATCCTGGAACTGGAAGCCTATCTAACTTGAGCTGTGGACCACTATCTGATTTCAGATATAGTATTTTAACTCTTCTAGAACCAAGGGATAAAGAGTCCTCTAGGTTAACCACGTTAGAGCAGAAAGGAGCAATTTCGAACTGTTCCTCTTCTGGCCTGAATTGGAAGGAAAAGGTTTGAAGGCAAGAAAGGGGATTATGCCACGAGAGGGAAACAAAACAAAAATCTCTTTCCATAAATTATTTCTTCAAATATACAGGAATGCCTGAAATGGTGAGCCCTTCAGGGCTGGGCCACAGCATCCACGGGCCCAGGAGCAGTCTCCCTTTACCCCTCCCCCTCCTGAGCGTATAGTACAGATGTTTCCCCTTTTCCATGTGTTATGAAATAAAGCGGTAGGGAAGAAGCACTGCGCTTAGGTTCGCTCTTTAAGGTTCTCCCTACCATCCCTGTCATCTTCTATGAACACTCTTTAATTGTTACTGCCCCTCTTAAGATGTGTCAATCACTGTACTTTTCAGAGATCTGTAGAGCAATCCCAGATGTACCTAGCTAGGACACAACAAGGGTTATCTGATAAAATTACAGTGCTTCTAGAGAGAGAGAGGATGCATAATTGTTATATTTTTATTTTCTAAGTACCTACAAAGTAAATATTAAATTCTAGGATGGAATTTTGTTAGATTGATATCAAACTTTATTGAATTATAAATTCCAGAAACAAGCTTTTTCTTTCTAAAAATCTTCTCTTAATTCTTCTGACATCTCTAATAATTTCTGAAAGATCATTTTTTCATAGTCATTTCTGCAGGTTCTTTCAACAAACATTTCTCTGCAGATGAGAATACACTCAGAGGGTCTTCCAGTGCCCTCACATTTTTCCCTAACTTAATGCAGCCTGTAAGATGTGCTAGCCATTTGGAGCAAGGAAATAGGAAACCTTGGTGTGGTTGAAATGTGAACAGGTAACAGAGAGGAGATATGCGTGTATATTTATCCCTTTGTTTTGATGCTGTTTAGAAGTTTAGAAGGTCTTACTCTTTGAGGATAGAGTATGTTTGCTTAGAGGAAACTTTTAACTTTTTTCTTTTAATAAACATTTTAGCATCTGAATTGTGACTACACATCATTTGTAGATTTGTTTCTATTGGCCTTTGCTAGTAAATACATTTTCCTGGGAATACATTTACTAGGAAATACATATTGACTGGGTAATTCTACTTTTGACTTAGTGAATTTAAGAACACTTCCAGCTGTCCACTGTAAGTAGAATAATACTTTATATCTTTAAAAGACCCAGTTGCTGGTTTTTGTTATTGTTTTAGTATTGATATTTTCTGAGGTTTGGGGATGCAAGTTTTACAAATTTGTTCATATTTATCATGTCTACAACCTCATTTAATCCACTTTCAGTTTGGGTATCCATTCTGGATTGGATGTTGTATTTTAGTGATGGTCAGCCTTAAGGAGTAAATTAGTACTGCTGATGAAATGAGATAATCAAGGCACACAGAACATTGTTTTTCCAGTAATGTACTGCCACAGCCCATCAGACACTGGCTGGGCCTGTTGCTCCCCAAACGAGAGTCCATTCTACGTGACTTAGCTGCTGGGCTCTTGTGGACTAACTGGCCACTCTCTCTTGACCCCTAGGGCTCCATGGGGCCCTATGTGAAATCACTGCTTCTTTTTAAATAAGTATTTAAAAGTTATGAGACTTTTTTAATGTCCCTAATACTTTCAGAAATGACATTACATAATAAAATATTTATATGCTTTTTAAGACCTTTCTTTAACTCATGATGTGTTTTTGACCAAATGTCTAGAGGTATGCAGATTGTCTGTTTGCCAGGATTTTCTTAGTACACATGATAGATACATGATAGTCTTCAAGAATGTACTAAGAATTGGGAACATTTTTAAAATTCTTACAAGAGTTTATTTGTGCCAAACTGATGACATGTAGGGAAGCAAGATGTCTTAGGAACATTTTTATTGCAAATACTAAAGATCCATGAATTCAAACATTTTCAGAATACACTTTGAAAGTACTCATAGTGGTAGTGGAAATTACACCTGTAGTTTCTTTGTAAACAGGTAGCATGTTTTAATTATCTTTCTCTCCTTTAGGGGTTAATGAAGAAATTCATTCGATGTTCTACACGTGTAACTGTGGGAACTATTAAAAAATTTCTAAGTTTAAAACTAAAACTTCCAAGTTCTTATGAGGTAAGTTAATAATGTAACCTTGATCATTTTGATAATTATGATCTGAAGTAAAATTCTTACAAAATAAGTGAAAATTAACTGAGATTACATTTAAATTAAAATTTGTGGAAACTTTGGTTATTTTTATGTTACAAATTTAATTCTTAGAATGTAGTATTCTATTTATGTGGTCTCTATTTTTTAATTTAACATCCTGACTAAAACATAACACTAATGCTTTTAGTGTTTTATTATTAGAGGATATATTTAAATAACATTAAGTATTTTCAAAATAAATATCCCAGTTAAGTGGATCCTTTTTCTTTGATTTTTATGCCAGCATGCTTTAGGGTGTGTATTTTTGTGTTTCTTATTTTTAATCTGAGACCTTTGAGATCCATTTTTACCAATTCTTCATAGACTTCTTTTTTAGAATGTAAAACATTGTCAAAAGGGATGTTGTAAATGTTCCTTTAATTCCATGGTACGTAAAAGTAGTATTGTTTAGCACTAGGTAAAAGCTAGTGTTTTAGTATTGCATCGGCATATATGCAGTTTACCAGTTTCTTTACATGAGAAAGTGCCCTAATGTTGATGCCAGCACAGCTTGTAATGTATTCAATGTTTAGAGAATGTTTGTGATCCTAGGCGTACAGCTATAACATAATGAAACATGGCTACTGTGTCTCACCTGCCCAAATGACAATCTTACAACTTATATTAATGGTCTCTTCCTCTCCTTTGGGTTCTGATAGCAGCATCCAAAAAAAACTAAGGACCAAAACTAGTTTCCTATATAAACAGAGACATCAAAGGCAACAGTTTTCAGGCTTATGGACAATAAATTTTAGGGAGAGAAAGGGGGTGAGAGAGAGATTACTTTTAAAAAATTCTTTCAAATGACTAATCTGTGGATTAGAAATTCTTATTATGGTTTGGTCCTACAAATATAAAAAAATTTCCAGAAACATCAATGTTTACATTAGGAAAAAACTGAGTGTTAAAGCCCTATGTACTTTGTAAAAGTAACAGGTAATAACAGTTTACAGGTGCAACAGTGAAAATAGGGAGTAAAATTGTTTTTTATTATTTGGTTTTACAGTTTTATTTCCTTTTAAGTGTGACTCATTGGGTTATTTCCTAGTGTTCAGGAAGTTGTTAGAGCTGAGAGAACTGTTATTCTCATACACTCTTACTGCTGGCACATGCACTGCTCTGTAGGAGAGGGCAGAAGGGGAAGAGACTCGGTGTGCTGACAGCTCCGTATCTATTCCAGTGCAGAGGACTTTTCTTACGATTTTTCAGTAATATTTACTGGTCCCCCCTTATTTTGCTGCCCAACATGTAGGAGGAGGATTTAATGAAATACCTGACAGCTGAAGATCCTGTAACTGCATTGTTATTGGGGCAGGACAGTTTAGTTCTTAAATAATAATGGAAGCAGTATACCTGATTAAGAATTGCATCTTCAGTGTGTCCCTTTACTTCTTTGCTTATGAATTTATTTTAGAGGTGAGATAAAATGGAAGTATCTATTTTGTTCTTTTAAACATAAAATGTCTAAAAAACATTTTGAAGTTACCATAAATCAAAAAATCAATATATTTTAGCTAATAATTTGTCTAATACAATTAGAACTATACTCATTTTAAAGTTCAAAACTCTATTCTTTGTCTAGCCAAACAGTTATTTAAAACTCATTTTTCTTCCCCTTTTCTCTCTTTAAATTAATTCCATCCATTTGCTTTTAATAGCTAGAGAACCAAAATGTTTTATTTAAAGGGACTTACAAAAAACATTTATTATGCTTTGTTGAATTAATAAATCAGGGTCACAGTTCTTAAGGCCTTCTTAAGGATTTAGGGGTGGTTTGGCTCCTGCAATACTAGAGCAAAAGTGAGCATTGATAAGTACAACCCTTCTGTGACGGTTAGTGCAAGTTACCAACCAAGCAGAGCAGAGAAGCCTGAGGGCCTGGAGTCCTAGAAAACACAGGCCAGTGCATGGTCCTAACTGTGCTGTCAATTTAGCTACAGGTAATTACTGGCAATTCTCATATGTCTCAAAGGCCCCATAAATCACACATCCACATTCATTCATTTACCCTCTTCAAATACAGACTAATGAAAGTAATTCCTTCAAATTTGGGTTGGGAAGGTGAAGGTATTCTGAGAGATGAATTTATAAGGCAAAACTGCTGTGAGGAACTATGAGGTTTCCACAGTTCTTCTCATTGAGTAAGAAGCAATCACAGAAATATGTGATTCAAAGGTTGCAGAGACATGGACNTTCTTCTCATTGAGTAAGAAGCAATCACAGAAATATGTGATTCAAAGGTTGCAGAGTAAAAATCTACATTGCATTTCAAAATTATGTGTACAAACTTGAGATACAGATATGTGGGGCAAGACAAACAGTGCTTCATGGTACTTATATCTGAATTAATACTTATGAGATGGATCAGTGCTTTTAATAAAAATAGTGTTCTTTTTAAATAAATGGATAATACTTCTATTTTGTTATAACTATTTGAATCTTTTTTGAAATTTGAAAAAACATGTAAAACACATACATTCGAAATTACTTATGTTAACGGGTCTGTAACTATTCTTTTAAAAGTTGGATGTGCTGTGCAATGGTGAAATTATGGGGAAGGATCACACTATGGAATTCATCTACATGACAAGATGGCGACTCAGAGGCGAAAACGTAAATTGCTTTTTTACTTACCTTGTGTGTATTTAGTTATAGACCATTGTGTTACTCAAATTTAACAGTATTACCTAGAAACTCAAAGAGGAAACTAGCTTGGGAAAGAGAAAAAAAAAAACAGTTCCTCTTACTGTTTGTCCCAGCTCTTTCGTGATAAGTATCCCCAAGTACAAGACCCAGGTCTGTGTTAAGTGTAGTTTTGTTATATGAAGGTAAGTTCAAAACCCCATTTCAGTATGTTCAGAGCTCTACTAACCTCAAGACAGAGAAGATGGCACTCACATTTTTTATACCCCAATAAAATACAGGAACTTTTAACTATATGGAGTATGGGTGAGTTGACTAAGTTCTGCCCTGTCTAGTATGTTTAATGGCTGATAACATGATTTTTTGGTCATGACAGAGGGAACAGATAGAGTAGGATTTTAGATAATCTAATCAGTGAGTTATCTGATTATTGTGCCGTAGGCCCTAGGCAATACAGGAGAAATGATTGAAAGGAGAAAAACCAAGAAAATCCCAAAAATATAGAAGGAGAATTTCATATTTTGAACTGTATCTTTAATTAGGGCTGATTAGAAGGTTCAAGCACATCTTTATCTGAGTTATATGTAACATTGATATTAGGGACATTGAAGGATCAGGGATTATAAGACTGATATATAGCTGTAATAACTTGATTACATGAATAAACATGGTTGTCTAGAAGGCTAGACTAAATGACCTCCTTTTAGACCTTAAGATTTTGTGGTGTATAGGGTACCATGTGTCATATTTTTAAACTCTGTGTAATTTTAACCTCTCTGTAAGATAGATTTTATTATATTTTCTCATGAAAATATAAATTAACTATAAAATAAACATAACATTAAGAAATGCAACCTCACACAAAGATAGGTAATACAGAATCCAAATATAATGAGGGTTGCTATGTTACAGTGGTTCGAAAACATACTTATATTGAATGTTGACATATGTGGAACTTCTATGAAACAAACCTCAAAATATCTTTTTTGTGTGCCATTCAATGGGTATAATATTTGGCTATTTTTAAGAAGAAATGTCTTGATATGATTATCATAATAAATGAAGCACCTAGATTCTTAGTCACAATTTTTTTTTCTATTTGAGTCTCACTTGGGTAAAGCCTTCCTTGTAAGGCTGAATTTTCATGACCAGGAAGGAAAATTACATTCTAGTATTAGTCACCAACTAGTTGTGTGCCCTTGAAAAACTCATTAAACCTCTCTAGTGCTTTAAAAAAAATTAAAATCTAATTGTATTTGGTAAATTAGTACTTGCTTTTATATGACATTTCCTAGTTGTTAAATGGTTGTACATATATCACCCTCATTTAATCCTTCCAACCAAAGTGTTTCAGGTCCCAGGCACAGATTACAGAGACAGTCAATTCTCTCTTTCCCAGCATTGTTGGGGCCTAGATATGGTGATATTACATGTAATATTAATATCGCATTGATATAATTTTAGCTTCCTTTGATAGTTCGTTGGGCATTTCAGAATGTGCTTGAAACCATCGTCATGAATAGGTTTACCTTAAGGTTGAAGAGATGTAAGTAGTCACCACTGCAAGACCTCTGCTAGCACTCACCGTCCTTCACAACATCCCTTCCCAAAGGTCACCCACATGGCCAGTTATTCTAAGGTCAAAGCATGAAAGGGCTAATTCATAGAAATTGTCATTAATGGACTGTAAGTTCAATCAGTCTTTGCTACAATTAGGTTTTTGATTACACATTTCTGAATAGTTTGAAGTCCTTAGTTATTTAAGGCATACTTGAATCGAAGTTGGTTCAAAAAATGGTTCAGTATCATGTTTTTTTTCATTCACGTAAAAACAAAACCAATAAATAGAGAAATTACCACATTTTATATTTAGTGCGACAGTAAAGTAATATATTAGTCTGTTTCATCTTTTCACCATGATAAGCATGTTTTTTTCCCCCCTCTCCAGCCTGTTTCTCCCTTAGTTTTCACAATCTCAGCAGTTCCAAGACTAGTAGTTCCATTACTCCAGTTTCTCAGACCAAAATCCCTGAAGTCAGTCCTGGTTAGTTTCTTTTTCTTTTATCCATCCTTAGCAAACTTTGTGACCTCTGTACTGTATACATATACTATATAGTATACAAAATAATCAGAATCCTCTTATGTCTTACCACCTCCACTCACCAATTCTGACCCAGACCGCCAGACCGATCCTTCAGAATTTCTACCAGTCTCCTACCTGGACCCGATGCTTCCAATCCTACTGCCACCCGGTTCCCCCTCCCACCTTTTCCAGTACAACACCCAGAGCTATCCTCTTAAAACAAGTTAGAACATGTCACTTCTCTGCTTTGAACTCTCCAGTAACATCCAATAGTATGTAGACAAAAGCCAGAATCCTTCCAGGGACCTATAGATACAGACCCCACATGGTTTTCCCCAGACACCTCTCTGATCTTACCCTCTCTCCCTCTCGGGCTCCCCGAACTCAGCCTCACTGCCTCTGTTTCCTTTAACATGCCAGGCTTGCTCTGGCCTCCCAAGTGTCCACCTAACTCGATCCCTTTACCCCTTTGCTGAAAGAACTTTGCTTCTCCATCACCTTCTCAGTGAAGCACCTGACTTCATTTAATGTCACAGTCCCCTCTCCCATTGGCACTCTTAATCCTTTTTGATGCCTTACTGTTTTCCATCATATCTCATTACCACCTGACATACTGTGCCTCTTGTTTATGTTTATTGTTTGTCCCCCAGTTAAAATGCAGTCTGAGGGCAGGGCTTATATCTGTTCACTGCTGAGTCTCTGCACCAAGAGCAGTGCCTAATACAGGTACTCAATAAATATTTGTTGGAAGAGTGAATTGAATGAAAATTTTTCTTTAATAAGGTAATAGTTACATAAAATACACCCTAAAGATCATTCCATTTATTTGAATCTCAATTTCCCAGTTTTTGTTAAACAATTTTTAACTTGTTCCAGTTGTGAGTTGTAATAGTAATTAATGAATTCTGATCATTGAAATGAATGCACAAATTAACAGTAAAACAATCATTTCTTGATTAAACCCCTACTAGCAACCACATATCTTTCTGTCTCTACTCTCCATTGCCAGCAGATGCCAGGATGTCTGACAGTTCTCAGTACTTTACCTGCTGGCACTGCTAACTGGCTCTGCCTCAGGCTGGGGTCAGCTTATTTGCTAAACCACTGTCCACCTTGTGGTTCTTTCACTTGCTTCTAGTACATTTTTATACTAAACTTTTAATCCACCTGGGATTTGTTTATTTACATACACATACCTGCAACAAAGCTAAGACTCTCTTTTTATTGACTTCTAGCACCTCTTTATGTATTCTGGATACTAATCTTTTGTTATATATGTTGAGGTTATTTCCTCCCATTTGAGTCCTGCTTCCTAGTTTTGTTTGTTTTTTGATCCTTAAAATTTGGGTAATGTCGCCCGGCTGGGCGTGGCTCAGCGGTTGAGCGTCGACCTAGGATCCAGGTGATCGGGGTTCGATTCCTGGTCAGGGCACATGCCCGGGTTGTGGGCTCAATCAACGACTCTCTCATCATTGATGTTTCTATCTCTCTCCCTCTCCCTTCCTCTCTCTGAAATCAATAAAAATATATTTTAAAAAAAAATAAAACTTGAGTAATGCTACCTATCTTGAAAAATTTTAGTGAGAATTAATGAGATAGTATAAAGTACTTAGCAGTGTGCCTGACATAATAAAGGTTAGTTATTTTATTAACAAATGTATGTTAGCTTTTATTATTATTATAATTCTCTCCCCCTACACTTAGTCTCATCTGAGAGCTTATTGTTAATATATCTTTCAGTTTAAGCCTTAGCTTTTATCATGAACTCATGTTCTTCCTACTCATCTCTTCTTGGGAAAGCTGAGTACCCATTCTCAATAGAGCCCATCTTTCCCAGATGGTCCTGGTTGGTTTTATCTTTCAGCAACCCCTGCTAGTCCATATCTAAAGTTACTGTACCACGTTTATTTTGCTTTGCTTTGAGTTTTCAAGCAGTTTTAGGAAAAGCAAACATCTATCTTGACTCATATCAGAAAGATTAATGGTGGGGGGGAAATAGTGAAATGGCCTCTTTCCACTTTAACTCTTCAAATGCTATTTGGGTCTTGGGTAGTTAGTCCAAATCTGATAGAGCTTGAGGACTCTTCATAGGGGAAGGTTGCCAAGGACACAGCAATGCTGGGCATGTCTCACGGCATGTTGATCAGCCCTGCACAGAAATTCAAGGACTAACTCTTAGGGGGGAAATTGCTAAAGTCTTTGGGGAAATGGAAAAATTCTAAAATTTTATTTTAAAGACTGTTTTAATTATTGCCTACTTAAGTATTCTTTCAAATATCTCTCTTAAAAACCTGCTCTAGGGTGTTAGATTTATCCTGGTTATATCACACTTTACATTTTTATGTATTTTTTTTCCATTTTGAAGAGGCATGCAATGTTGAATTCACATACGCATAATTATGTTAGCATAATATTGAAAAGCAATATTTGGGGATGACTTTTAAAATATGAATGGTTAAACTGCTAAAAGTTAGTTTGCAAATGAATTTACTCAGTAGTTTTAAAATATGTTCATTTCTAGATGTACTCATAAAACATTTTTTTGAGTGGCTGCTGTGTGCCAACCAGTTCTGGGCCTTAGTTATTAATATTGCAGATATAAATAAGATAGAGACACAAGGAACTCACCATCTGATGAAATTAAAATACATATGGAGACTAAGAATCTAATCTGAACAACTTAAGGAACCAAATTTAAAAGAGAAAATGGATCCCTTACAGGTTAAGGCAAATTTCATGCCCCCATCAGAGCCAGAGCTCTGATACCCTTAAACAGTGGTATTCCCAGGACGTAGTTGAGGGGATCTAGAGATTAATCATAGGAAGGGATGGAAGAAACAGGGTGCCCTCCTGGATTGAAGAGGTGAGGATTTTCACAGGCATTAGTGTTTGAAGAAGAGATGGAAAGGATGGGCTACCATTTTGGTAAAATATTTGCAGAATATTAGCCAAACTCTTATTTAGATACTAAAATTACTTCAAGCTAAATTTTACCAGTCACTAAGTTATTAAAATAAATTTTTTTTCAAATAAAAAACCAACCACCCTATTTTGGAAAGTGTTTACTTAAAATTAATCATGTTGACTCATGTTTTACGTTAAAGTACTTTGAATGATCAGTTTTAAATATGTATCCAGTTGTGGATGCCTCTTATCTGATGAGTTCATCTCCTCCGCAGTTTCGGTGTCTGAACTGCTCAGCTTCGCAAGTCTGCCCTCAGGATGGCCCTTTGTATCAGGTAAGAGGCACTCACGACTGTACATATGACCCTAATGATGCTGTCACCATGGGGATTGCTTCCACCCCAAACTCAAGTACCTGAGACATGTAACTTGGTGAAACTAATACTTATTTGAGCTACAAAACTTCTTTCAAATTATGTCACCAAAGTTTTTCATTATTTTAGTTTTCTTGAAATACCTATTTAATTTTACTAAACTAAAAATGAAACTATAAATGTTAAAGCCATTATTTATGAGTTAGGAATTTTTAACAATTACCAGTTTTAGCCCTTGAGAAATCTCTGCCCCATATTGGATCCCTGCTGCATACTTAACACTTCTTCGTATAAGTATCTTTTTAAAATTAATCATTCACTCACAGTGAAAAATAAAATGCCAGATGAGGTGAAGCAAAATAATGGCAACAGCTAAAACTAATTATGAGCTGGCTTACTAGGCCCTGCCCTAAGTGCTTTACTTGGGTTACCTCTTTTAATACAGAAATGATAGTGAACTAATTTAATAATGCACTGAGAAAACTTGAACATGGATCTGAAGAAATTTTAATAAAAATACAGTTTATAAATTTGGAAAACAGAAGGGACTAAGGGTGGTATAGTAAATACTATACATAGATGATCTATAATCAACCTTAGTCCATGGATTAATTAAAGCATTTCTTTAAAATCCCCATTGTTTGGACTATTACTCAGCCATAAAAAGAGAACAAAATCTTAACATTTGCAACAGCATGGATGAACCTAGAGGATATTATGCTCAGTGAAATAAGTCAGTCAGAGACATTTGCAACAGCATGGATGAACCTAGAGGATATTATGCTCAGTGAAATAAGTCAGTCAGAGAAAGACAAGTACCATATGATTTCACTTACAGATGGAATCTAAAGAACAACATAAACAAAATAGACGCAGACACAAAGAACAGACTGAGATAGGGGAAAGGGGTTAGGGGGACTGGGTGAAAAAGGTGAAGGGATTGAGAAGCACAGATTGGTATTTACAGAACAGTCTGGGGGATATAAAGTACAGCGTAGGGAATATAGTCACTAATATTGTAATATCTATGTATGGTGCCAGGTGTACTAGAAATATCAAGGGAACACTTTGTAAAGTATATGACTGTCTAACCACTATGCTATACACCTGAAACGAATATAAAATAATATTGAATGTAAACTGTAATTGAAAAAATTTTTTAAAGAACAGAAAAAAATGAAATAACACTTACTTCATGGTCATACCCTTGGATTTGCACATCTTAAAACTATGTTCAAAATTTGGGGGGCAAGGGAGAAATGTTTTACTTTTTATTATAAATATTATAAATAAACTTCTTGAAAGTTGAGTTTTTAATAACACTTTGCTTTGGCCTCTATCATTTTTAAGTATAAGAGGAACATAATGAGAGCAGGAAAATATGAGAAATTAAACATAAAGATAATGATAGCCTCCCCTCCCCCCAAAGAAACCCCCATTGTTCTTTTATCCTAGAAATTATTTTTCATCCTTGTTTCCTTGGAGCCTAGAAAGGAAAATTGTAATTATACAACAAACTTAACTAGCAATCTTGTCTCTGATGTTGAAGTTTTAGTGTTGGGACAAATGTATGTTAATTAAGGAGCCACTTCAGATTTGCAAGGAATAGAGCATTCCCATTCTAAATTGTTTTAAATCATTGAAAAAGATCAAATTCTTCCTAATTCATTTTACAAAAGTGACATAATCATGATAGCAAAAACTGGCCCCCAATTAGAAAACTATCAAATCTTTTTTTTCAATTAATTTATTTATTTAGAGAGAGGAGGAAGGTAAGAGGAGAGAGAGAGAAACATCAATTTGTTGTTCCACTTATTTCTGCATCACTGATTGATTCTTGTATGTGCCCTGACTGGCCATCAAACCCTCAACCTTGGTGTACGGGGACAACACACTAACAAACTGAGCTACCCAGCCAGGGCTCAAATCTTATTTTGAATATTAATATAAAGATAAGTAATATACTATATATACTAAATTATTATACTAAAAGAGTAATGAAGCCAAGACCAAATACTACTTTTGTCAGTAATGCAAGAAATAAAAATCATCAATAGATGCCAAAAAGGCATTTGACAAAATTCATTGTTAAGTCCTACTTTTTCCAAATAGTTTATTTTGAAAAATTTCAAAACAACAAAAAAGTTGAAATAATAATACAGAGGACTATTCTTTACTTATACCAATTAACATTTTGCTACATTTTCTGCCCTCTGTCTTCCCCTCCATTCTTCCTCTCTCCTTATCTTATTAATCTTTATACATATACCTATTTCTTTGTGGAACCATTTGAAAGTAAATTGTAAGTATCATGACAATAGACCACTGAATACCTCAGCATATAATATTTAAGAACAAAGGCCTTCTCATATATAACGAAAATACTACTACACGCACGGGAAATTTAAATAGTATACTAAATATCCCGGAGATGTCAGTTCTCCCCATAATTATGATATTTAACGAGGTTCTAAACACACTTTTAGCAATTTCTTTTTTAACTTGACAAAGTGCATCATTCTAAAGTTCATTAGGAAATATAAACCAGTGCTTCTGGTCAGTCACATTTGTAAATGAGCAATCAGGGCACATGTGCAGTGCCACATACATGTATTGTAAAGCTGAAGTAATTGAAATAGAGCACTAACTTAAACATAGACATATGAGTAAAAAGAACAGCTTAGGGACAAACTAGTGTGTATGAATCTATAGAGAGTATTTCAGGTTAGTGGAGGAAAAGAAGATTCGTTTAACAAGTATCTATTAAGCACTTAATTAGACATTCTTTTAGGCCCTGGGACACAGAAGTAGAAATGAGGGAAAAAAAATTTTTCCCTTCATGGAGCTTACACTCTAACGATGGTAACAGATAAAAAAATAAATGAGTAAAATTTATAGTGTTAGAAGAAAAATTAAAGTAGATAAATAGAATAGTTTAGATAAGCTTGCCAAGGGAAGATCTCTGAGGTGATGACATTTGATCAAAAAGCACTTAGGGAAATAGCTATGTGTGTACGTGGGGTGGGGCACTGCAAGTCAAGGGAACACAGAGCAAAGAGCTGGAGCAGTGGTCTTGTCTGGTGGTTTGGGGCTGGAACAAAGAGTAGCCGGCAGTTGGCAGGGTGAACTCAGAACATAGTTGTTGGGAGTGGGGTGTGGTCTAATAGGGCTTGTTTTTAGTGAATTGTACTGAGACTGTTGGTGCTGATGATGGGGGGCAGGATTCAACCCATACTTCACATTATATGAGTTTCTCATGACTTAAAGTAGTAAATATTTAAAGAAGATAATATAGTTGAATAATGCATCTCAGAGTGGGGTGGCCTTTCTCCCTATACATATAAAAGGAAAACAAAGACAAACTGAGTTCACTATTAATATTGAAAGTACATGACAAATATACCACAACTGAGGAAATACTAGCATTATGACAGAAAGGCTTACTGTCCTTAATACAGAAAGAATTCATACAAATCTATAAGACAATCTTCAGCTTTCCATAGAAAAATGAGCAAAAGCTATGATTAGGCAAGTCACAAAAGAAGGAAACTGGCCAGTAAGCATACAGAAATGCTTTACTTCTTTAGAAGCCAAGAAAAGAAATAAAATACTCTTTTATGCTTATTAAATTCCCAAACTAAAAGGGAAGAAAGGATAGTAGTCCTTAGTGGTGAGCTGTGGGAGAAGGAGCCCTCATATTTCTTTTGGAAATGTAAAAACAGAACAACTTTCTTGGAGTTCACTCTCTGTGACATGCATTTAGCAAAAAGGCTTTTGAAATGTATGTGCTGTTTGAAGCAGCAGTTCCACTTCTAGGAACCACCCCAGGGGTGGGGGTAAGGTGGAAAGCAGGGCCTAGACCATAGGTCATTGGGTCAGCATTAATTTGTAATAGCAATAAAAGGAAAAAAGAATAAAGTGAAATGTACAGCAAAGGCGTTATACACAGCCTTTACAAATGACACTAAGTAGTGTAGAAATTAGTTTATGGAATTTTTAAATGGACAGAATTATTTGTCAAACAATGTGTAATATTTCAGTTTTGAAAAACAAGTACATAGAAAGACTAGGGGGATATACACTAAATTGACTATGGTGGTTATCTTTGGATGGTGGCATTTAAATGTTTTATTTTTCTTGGTGCTCTTCTGTATTTTCCAAATCCACAGTAAAGCCAATTTCCTTTTTTGAAAAAGAACTTGTTTTTTAAGAAAAAAAGTGCATCAAAGTTCATTTTGGGATTTTCTAAAATTATCACATTTGAAACATACACTGGAAGTATCTGTTCTTTAATTTAGTACCTGATGAGTCAGGACTAGTAACTAGGAAATGTGGGTTCATTCAGTGCAGTCACTGAACAGGAGTGATGTGCCTGTTTCCTTAGCACAAGAAGGCAAACCGACACACAAATAGAACTTAAAGTTCATCTTAATTCCCAGTATTGTAACACATTTCAATAAAATTATTAAGCTCCATGTGTTGTCATAGAGCAAACACAAATGGTTAGTTGGAGGGGAAAGCAAAACTATTTTTAGCCAAAAACAGAAAATCCCAGCTACTTAAAACCAAGCCATTTTACTTCCTCTCCACTTCACGGTAGTAAAATCGGTGATGGGTTCTTCCCTGCGTTATGAATGGATTCTAAGACAGATGACTTAGTTTTTGCAGAGTATGCAGATTCAGCAGTCGGGAGTGGAAGCAGACGTGGAAGGAGGATTGTGGTGAAGGGCAAGCTGTGTAGACTGGGAAGCAGTAAAGTCAGAGTTGGAGGTTCAGGTAGCCCTCTCCAAGTCTGGCTGAGCTTCAGAAAGCCCAGGCAGTTTTATAAAATGCAGATTGCTGTGCCCCACTCCCAGATACTCTTATTCAGAGAGAACAAAATAAAGTTTAAAATAAAAACAAGCAAACAAAATTTAGACCAAAATTGATTTAGACCATGGAAACCCTGAGAGACTGCCTCTGACTTTTCTCCAGCTCCTAGAAAACTGGTAGTGGTATCACCTTACTCAGCCAGAGGAGCGAGACCTAGGAATTCTCATTCCCGCCCCCCACTCCCATCCTGGGCTGAATGGTAAAAGGGATTCCAACCCTGAGTTTTCTCGGCATGTAACAGCTATGCTAAGTATCGAGACGGTCTCTGCAGGATTATAGGCTCTCAGTCTGTCCCTTCCGTTCGCATGACGGAAAACAGTTCTCTGTGCTGGATTTTTGCATTCACCACACGGAGCTGAAGGGGAAACAGTCAATGGCCCTTTCAGCCCTTTCTTGGTTTCCTAAGAATAGCTCCTCAAAATTGCATTTTAAAGGGGGGAATGTGCAGCTTGAAGTAAAGGGAAACCATTGGTTCTCCAGATCCTTTATGACTTGGTTTCTGTACGTGTGTTAACAGAGGGTAAGAACAGATGCCAGAGTAGCAGTGCGGCATACACCATTTATCTACCAGAAGCTGTTTCCTTGTAGTGCCATATGTTGGTGTAGGACACTTTTTCTACATAGAGTGACATGAAGGACAATCTGAACCATTCAGTTATATAAGAATCAAATCCAAGTATTTAATAGGGTCAACTGAGCATTGAAAGGAGGCAGTAACCTAAATGTTTCATGCAAAAAATCAGCTACTTGTTTTTCAACATTTTTTAAAGAAAAAAATGGTTTTTTTTTTAGAAAAAAAAAAGTGTCAAACTGACTAAAAAAAGTCATTTATGAAAATGACCCCCCTTTCATAGATTCATAGCAAGAGGTGTCTCTTAATTTGTGACTCAGGAGATTCTCACGAAGAGCAGCTCTGTTGGAATCAGCCTGTGGACTTGTCTTGTTGAACCCCACAAGGTTAACAACTGAACCCTGTAAGGAGGACATGATAGCTTTCAGTCCCCCACAGGCCCTGCCTCCCCCTAAGTGTTACTTTAGCACTGTTCACATATGCAACCAGTGTGAGTCTGTCGGCCTTTGAACTTGGCCTGTATTGTATATTATGGAAAACATTACTGATTCTAGAAAAATAATGGCAATTAAAAAAATAGAGTTTTCATAGATACAAACAATAGGACGGTGGTTACCAGAGGGGGGAAGTGAGGTAGGGGAGGGGGAAGTGAGGTAGGGGAGGGCAAATTGGGGAAAGGGGGTCAAATGTATGGTAACAGAAGGAAACTAGACTTTGGGTAGTGAGCAAGCAATAGAGTATACAGATAGCAAATTATAATGATGTACACCTGAAATTTATATAATGTTATTAACCAATGTTACCTCCATAATTTTCATTTAAAATATATATAGTTTTAATGTCACCTTAATAACTAGTATCAGAAAATATCGGAAATTATAACCCCTTTATCTTCAAATATTTTGTATATAATCTCTATTGTTTTTATATAACAAGTCTTACTCATTGTCTGTTTTTATTTTGTAGTCATATCCCATGGTATTGCAGTATCGACCAAGAATTGATTTCGGTTAGACCAAGGGGCCTAGATCCCACTGAGATCAATCCTGCACTATTTGTTTACTCATGGACAGATTGCACAGCGAACGGTGTGTGGACTAGAGGGACACAACCAGATTTTCAGCATGCAAATAAGGCCATTGTCTGTCTCTAAATTGTCACTTGCATTTATGTTGTTTCTATTAAGAGCAAACCAAGTGCCATTCTGCTACTGAACCACCCGCGTAAGTTACTCGTGCTGTCTCGCAGTGTACAGGTCATGACTGAGGCCAGCTGGGTGTGCAGCCCTGATGCAGCCTTCGGGATACTGTTTGCCTGTTCCAAGACTGTTCTAATGTCTGATTACACTAGTAATATAGCTCAGTCTTTGTGGTATTACAGTTTTCACATACTTAATATTTTATTAATTCTTGTTTAAATAGAGTATTGTACAAGAAACTAGTAATTATTAGGTCTCAAAATTATTTTGTATGGGAAATATACTTACAAGGATGGTTTTTGAGCCACTGTCCTGTTCTCAGTAAGCTTTCTGTGTGCAAAATAGTTCATCTTTTGGGAAGAATCCCAATTATTCTTAACATTAGAGCACATTGTAATTTTGGGCATTTTAAATCGTCTGTCAGTGTAGTCTACCAATTGCACAAGGAGGGCATGTTAGCCTCCAGAGTTGAAAATGTGTGTGATTCTGGGAGAACTGAACAACCATTTGAAATGTTGGCAGCTGATCACACTTACTCCTAACAGAATTAATGTGTGAGTCAAGTTAATCTTCTCTCGTAATGCCTTATGACAAGCGGGTGCTGCTTCATGAACTGTCATCGTGTAGCCCATTTTATGGATGTATCACTATATTGTTGCTCTCGTTTAATGAGTACATTGTTTCTCTTTTTAAGTTGGCCTTAAGTATGTGTCACTGTGGCATGCAGAGGGGTATGATGATTTTAAATATTAGGATCTTTAGAGCAGGTAACATTAGCTATTTTATGGATTTCAAAAGTTTCAAAGCATTTGTAGATTAAAACTGTCAGTTACCTATCGCATTTCCAAACCATTTGCAAAAATAGAATAAATGCACTGTAGTAGATAAATATGCTAACCAAAATTAATGGTCTGAGGATATTCATTTTAGATCTTGTAGCAATCGGGGAAATGGGATTACTGTTTTATACATAAATTCATTAGGGTCAGAGCTGTGATAATGTCCTTGATTTTGCAGTTTTGTTGTCTTCCATTCATTTTGAGATTAATCTGCAAATCAAAGAAAGTCTTGTACCTTAAATTATATGAAGAACTTCATTTTAAATGTTTTAAAATGTGTATTTGTTTTCCAAAAATGTCTTTGGAAATTGTTTTATTAATTGCTTCAAAACAAGTTAACCTCTGAAACTTAGGAAAAAAACCTTGAAAGTTAGGAGAAATATTTATTTTAGAAACCTGACATGAGCACAATCTGTGTGTTACACACATAGTTTTTATACTGTATACATGGTAGATGTGCTACATTTTCCAGTAAAATGTATCACAAATTAATGCCTTCTGAGTCTCAAAATGCTTCTTAGAAGTAAAACATTGTACAACTCTAAGAAACACATACAAATACAGCTAAGTCTGATGCATTTCACAATACAAAATGCTGAAATATCTTTTTCCATATATCTTTGTTTCATGTCAAAAAGTCCACATTAAAGCTTTCTGTTGTTTTTGTTCTGACTTTTGTGAAAAAGGTTATGGCAGTACTTTAATTTCATTTGTTAGGTTGTGTTTGTGCTGGGAAGGGCTCACAAGCAGAACTTAAAAAGCAGATTTTTTTGGTTAAAAATCTTTTTTAAAGGGTTGGAATAGACCATTCCTATTGCACTCAGCCAAAAACTGAATTTACTCTTTAGCTACAGAAATAATTTTATGCCCTGAATTCTAATTCCCTGACATCCCTAAGAAATTTTAAAATGTATTATATTAAAATGTTTTACATATGGAAGTTAATTTTAATTGACTTAATGCAAAACGCACTGAGAGTGCATTTTAAAAACCGCAAATGAGACGTGGATGTTTTTGGGTCCCCAGCCAAAGCCTACAACCTTAAGTGAGTTTTATGTACACAGTCTCTTTAAATCTGTCCTGTTGCTTCATCATATGTAATTTCACTATTTTCCAAGGAAATATATAGGAAGCAATTATGGAATTTAGAATAGTTTTAGTGTATTAACATTTTTACTGAAATGCAATGAAATATGTGCCAAAACATGTGGAAACCTTACATAAAGAAGGACATCAGTTGCCATTCGGGGCAAGGTGCACATTGTATGACAGTCCTGAGTCTTACGGTGTCACTGCTAGAACCACGGACTTCTTCACCCAGTCTCTTCCTATCCATTCACCTGTGACTTTCTAAGTGTGGGGCTATTTTCATACCTAGTAATACACTAAATCCCAGTTAATTATTCCCTAAGGTAGGTTGTGGAGTTTGCAAGAAACCAGGTAGAAAAAAAAAAGACGGACAACTTTTGTGGTTGGTTTTAAAAACTTAGGGTGCTAGTAAAACAAACTCTTTATATAAATAACTTACAGGAATAATCATCTGAATCTGCAAAATGGGAGAATAAGTAAAACTATGTTTTTCTTTAATCTGTTATTTCTTAAGCAGCAAACTGAAAGAGCTTGACGTCCATGAAAGACTGTAACCTTTTCTTCTGCCTTGGATGTTGTATTAGTAACAGAGCCAGGGGGCCTTGGCTGTAAAGGCGCATGGTTTATAGGCACCACTTTAACTGAAGTAATCACATCAGTTAATAGAAAAACCAGAACGTGGCCTTTTCTCTAGACTAACAAAGTACTTTCAAGAAGTACCAAAAAAAATAAACTCAAAGGCTCATTGATGAGGTAATATTAGCTCATTCAGTCTGGGGTACAGCTACCTCCGGTGATGTCTTTTAACTACTTTTAGAAAAGTATGTTATTTCTTTATTCATTGAAAATCTGTCCCATACTAATATGCCACATTTTATAAATGTAATGAGTTTGCTCAACTATATTATACACTCAAATGTAACCTAAATTTAAATGATTGTTTGAGAGGAAAAAAGGTGTGTTATTTAATACTATGAACTGTTTAGCTTTACTGGAATATTTAAGAGAAAGTGCCTCATTGCAGCTGTGCACATCTGTTTTAGATTTACTGCGTACATCTGAGTTATCTGTACCTGTCTCATGAATGACTTCATATCTAAATAGGCACTTGTAAGTTAGAGTAATCACTTTTTTTAAAGAGTTTCATAAGAAAATGCGTATCACCAAAGACATTTTACTGCTAATCAATAACCATGTGGGAGAGACAGTTTTAACAGTTTGGAGGTTGGAAATTTTTAGATTGCAATTTAATTTTATATGAGGCAATAACCTTGAGTGATTGCTAAAATATCACCAAAGAAAGGCTTTAAATTGAATTTTCATGGTGAAATTAATCAAATACAGGTTTTTCTTACAGTTAGCAGAGCACACTTTCTTTCAAATGTGCTTCTTGTTTTTCCAGCACCATTTGACAGGTCTTAGGTAACCCTCAAAGGTGAGAAAGAGATAAATACAATAGATAGCCGCCTCTGGAGGGAAAGTGGGAGAAAGACAGACTTGGGAAAGAAAGTTGAAGTGGAGATTTTAAATTCTAATTTCCTGAGAGCTCTTTTCTTCCATGGAGGCAATAGAAACAAAAATCACGTTTACTTGGTTCCTGGGTCCTTAGTAACAGGAGAGATTTTATTAAAGACAGACTTTGGTAAAAGTGCTGGCATGCTTGCTTGTCTAGAAAACAGTACATTCTTTTGGACTCACATACATAAATGCTTGTTCTGTAACAAAAGCAAAATTTTCCTACAGGCCTCTTTCAACTCCCTGTCCTGTTTCTCAGTGGTTACTCTATTGTTACTAGAATTCAGCCACACAGCCAATTTTAGCAAAATGGGTCTCAGATCTAGAGCACACACACATCCGACTAAGCACTCTCCTCACACCGTTCTCCTGGGAGCCGTGCCGAGGCCACCTTAAAGGTGACGCTCGTGTCATGGAGCCTCTGGAGGCCATAGGCGAGCCTCTTGGACAGGACAGAGGCGGAGACTCTGTTACAGACCACGGTTTGTCACGAGGACTCTCCCAGCAGGCTGAGCTTGATACATAAGATGTTGGTTGTAGGAGAATTGCAGAAATGAAGGAGTTTGCCATAACTTTAATTTTCTTGATTAGAACCACAAAACCGAGAAATGCTATTATTATTTTAAGGTATATATCTGTACAATAAGGAACGTAACATGTCTGCCGGATGTGGCTCATGAAGGATTGAAAACGATTAACTATACCAGAGACTCTGAAACCCTTTGAAAGCACAAAATAACCCACCAATGCTGGTTTTACTTGATAGATATAGTTCAGTAGTGTTTTGATGGAAAAACAGGAGACTGAAAGTTCATTGAAATGTACGTAAATATACATGACAAGGTTTTCACTGTTTGTTTTTCTACAGCAGTGGCACTTTCCCAGTAATTTAAAAGGGATTGTCTTCTTAGTGTAAAGTACTTGTCACATAGTGTGTTACTTGTTCTTACTGTGCTTTCAAACAAGTCAAATGCTTGAGCACTTCCTTTTCAGAAAGTTATGAAATTAAACTGAAAAGTAATTTAATTTTCAATGCTCATTAAAATGTGTCTGTATACCTGTTATGCCCCTTTTCCTAGGATCCAACACCGAGACATTGTTCAGGAATGCTTTTTACTTTTAACTACCTTTAAATCTAGAATCAAGTGGAACTGATATGTGTTACATGCTGGGTCTAGTTTTCTTCCACCTTCCAGAGCTTCGTGGAATAAGAAACGAGTCTAGTGCAAGTGAGGATTAGCTGTTTGTGGGCAGGCTGTTTGCCCGCAGACGTCACATCTGCCCACTGGAGCAGGAGGTCTGCACATTGGAAATGTGATGGGATCAGCCTTGTCTTGTTTGGGGTCAGTTTTCTTTTGCTGTGTTTTTTAGAATGGGGATGGGGCCCAAGTGTCCTTAGGAAGCTGTGGTCCACGGCAAGCGCCCGTGAGGGAGCCCCGGTGTCCTGCTGCGTCCTCGCGTCGGGCAACAACAGCGAGCACCAGTGTTGGGTAGAGTAGCCCTCACGCTAAACAAAACCACCATAGAGTATAGTGTACAGTTGTGTTGCTGATTTTCCTTTGAAATATAAAATATTTTAAGCTTTTTTTTGTCAAAAGTGGTAACATCTTAATACAAATAAAAAACCTTTTTGTGGTTGTAAGATTTAGCTTATAAATCATTCAAATTGAAGTGAAAGATTACCAGGTCATTGTTAATGACTTAGTCTATTAAGAATATATGTATTTTTGTAAAGGAAAAGTACTTGTAGATATTTAATCAGTACAAGATGTATGTCTGTTTTGCAGAAATAAAATGCTGCTTAGAGATTCTCTTTAAATATTTTTTATTTTTGTGCTCAAATGTATTTTCTGTTGATCTATGGAATGTTCTGTACAAAGCTGTATGGTCGTACTGTTGGGCTAGAAACTTCTGTTTTTTAAAATCTGGACTTAGCCAAGTATACTTGACCATGTTAAAAATAGTATCTTTGTTATTAAAATTTTGATTGCATAATTTATTGTCTGTCATCCTTCATATTAGTAGTTGTAGATTATAATCTCCATTTAAAAGTATCCGTTAGGTACGACTGTAGCAAATTTTATTGAAATTTGTTGAGTATTTGGGATCATAAACGTTTTCTGAAGAGTTTGAGCTGTTTAAGATGGCAGACGTCCCCTCAAATAATACTTGGAGTGTACACACATGTACAGTTTAGAACAGCTTCTTACTTTGTTAGATTAATAATATTTTGGATGTAATTGGGTGTCAAAGAAAGGCCCCAGAGGATTGGAAGCTGCGTTCTTCAGCCAGTTAGATAACAGCTTTGCTGTATCAGCCCCTCCCTGGACACGTGCCTCAGGAGTTCCCGGTGGGCTAAGGCAGGACTTCCGAGCCAGGAGGTTGCGTGATTCCTCTCCTTGCCTCATTGTTACTTTGATGCCTGAAGCGTTGTCCCACGTTAGTGATGTCATGGAGGTGGTGACGAGCACCCTCTGACTAGGATTTGACTCTCTCCATATTGATAAGCTTTACGCTTGGCAAGGCTGTTGCGGAATGAGAAAGGGCATGGAGGATCGTGCAGGGAGAGTGCTCAAAAATGTGACACACGTTACTTTTATAATAGGTCATTGGCCAGAATTCACTCGCTGGCTTCATCTAGCTGAGATGAAGGCCCCAGGGAAGCTGGAGGGCTTAGGCCCAAGGAGAGGAGAAGACAGTTTTGTGACCTGCTAATCGATCTCTGCCACACCTGCATTTGGGGAGTGTTTTGTCAGCACAGGCTCAGCCCTGCTCTGCTCTGCTCTCTCCACTGGTTTTGAGAAGCATAGAGGAGTCTTGTACTCCAGCTAGGCCAGAAGCTGGGAGCCAGCCTCTGATTTTTATGTGCCTGGTAGATTTGCAGATAGGATTTTGCTAGAAACCACACTTACCCTGCTTGACACCCAAACCCCTGCCATGGGATTTGGGTGCCAGGATGCCACCGTAGCAATCAGATGGAGAATCATGCCCAGAATGGAGAAATGGGCAGCAAGTGATCACCACCAGCTTCCACCAACCAAAGTCCTACTCCTACAAAGCCTAGTTCAGATCCCATTAACCCAAGCAGGCCTGGCCAGACTTTCTCTCTCCTCTGTAACACTCCACACTTCTATTGCTGCCACAGCACTGAGGTTTGCTAGTCCTGCCATTAGATTATCAGCTTGGAGAGGGACAGTGACCGTGTGGCATGTCTCCACCCTCACACAACACATTTGCATAGTAACTGGCACCCATGAAACTAGTGAAAGAATCTGATTTCAGAAAGCAGGGGCAATGCTGACCATGGTCTCTAGCAAGTCCAGTGTCATTCCTCTTTTCGTAAGGACATCCCTCATATTGTGACCTCATTTGACCTTTCTTTAAAGGCCGTATCTCAAATACAAGTCACATTCTAAGATACTAGGGGTTACAGCTTCAACATGTGAATTTGGGAGGATACTATTCAGTTCTTAACAGCCATGTGGTGCCACAGAGACCTGGATTCAAGTTCAGGGTCATTCTGTTGTATAACTGGGCAATTCACTTAGCCTGGCCAAGTCTTGTTCCCTCCCTGGTGGAGCAGGAACAATAACACCTCATAGAGCGGGAGGGAGGAATGAAAAGATTGCAAATAGCCAAAGCACTCTTAAGGAAGAATAAAGCTGGAGGTATCATAGGTCCTAAGTCCAAACTATATTACAAAGCAATAGTAATCAAAACAGTACGGTATTGACATAAAAACAGATCATAGATCAATGGAACAAAATAAATCCATGCACATATGGTCCATTAATTGATTACAAAGAAAATATAATAGGGATTGTATATTTAAGAATATATAATTATAAGCCAAGAATATACAATGGGGAAAGAGATTTCTTCAATAAATTGTTTTGAGAAAACTGGACAACCACGTGCAACAGAATGACATTGAACCACTATCTCACACCATACACATAAATTAACTCAAAAGGGTTGAAGACTTGAATGTAAGACCTGAAAGCATTGAACTCCTAGAAGAACACATACACAATAAGCTAATTGACATCAGTCTTAGTGATAAATTTTTGGATTTGAAACCAAAAACAAAGGCAACAAAACCAAAAATAAACAAGTGGAACTGCATCAAACTAAAAATTTCCTGCACAGCAAGGGAAACCATCAACAAAATAAAAAGGCAACCTACTGAATGGGAGAAAATATTTATAAATCATATATCTGATAAGGTGTTAATTTCCAAAAAAAATACAAAGAACTCATACAACTCAATGGAAAAACAAACAAATAATCCATTTAAAAATGGGCAGAGAATCTGAATAGATGTTTTTTTCTAAAGAAGACATACAGATGGCCAATAGGTACATGAAAATGTGTTCAAGGTCACTAATCATCAGGGAAATGCAAATCAAAACCAGAAGGCGACGTTACACCTGTTAGAATGTTTGTTAGCCAAAGGGTCAGAAATAAGTGTCGGCAAGGACATGGAGAAAGGGGGACCCTTGTGCACTGCTGATGGGAATGTAAATTTATGCAGCTACTATGGAAAACAATAGGGGGATCCTCAAAATATTAAAAATAGACCTAGAATATGATCTAGCAATTCCACTTCTGGGTAATTATCCAAAGAAATGAAAGCACCAACTCAAAAACATGCACCCCTTGTTTCTTGCAACCTCATTTACAACAGCCAGGACGTGGAAGCCTCCTAAGTGTCCCTCAGTGGATGATTACGTAAAGAAAGTGCTCCTCACACACTGGGATACTACTCAGCCATAAAAAGGAAACCTTGCCATCTCATGACAACATGAATGGGCCTTGAGAGCATTATGCTAAGTGAAATAAGTCAGAAAGAGAAAGACAAATTCCATCTCACGTATGAAATAAAAATTTAAAAAAACAAACTCATAGATTCCCGAGAACAGATTGGGGGTTGCGAGAAGCAGGTGTGCATGTGCATGTGTGAAATGGGTGAAGGTGGTCAAAGGTACAAATTTCCAGTTATAAAATTTAAAGTCCTTGGGGATGTCATGTGCAGCATGGCAAGTGCAGTTAATAATACTGTATTGTATATTTGAAAGCTGCTGAGAGAGTAAATCTTCAAAGTTCTCTTCACACAAAAAAGAAAAAAATTGTGACTACATGCGGTGATGGATGTTAACTAGACTTACTGTGGTGACCATTTTGCAATTTATACAAAATTAAATTATGTTGTACACTGGAAACTAATGTCATATGTCGATTATATCTCAACTTTTAAAAAGGAAGCCATTACTCTCTGGCTTTTATGAGATGCATAAGCTATTTAGAGTTATAAAAATTAGACAAAATTGCCCGGCTGGGCGTGGCTCAGCGGTTGAGCGTCGACCTAGGATCCAGGCGATCAGGGTTCAATTCCCGGTCGGGGCACATGCCCGGGTTGCGGGCTCGATCAATGACTCTCTCATCATTGATGTTTCTATCTCTCTCTCTCTCTCTTCCCTCCCTCTCCCTTCCTCTCTCTGAAATCAATAAAGATATATTTAAAAAATAATAAAAATTAGGCAAAATACACATAAATGAAAATCATTAATGTTCCTTTGGGAAAATTCTGGATTGCTTTTATATTACGTAGGGAATTTTATTATGAGAGATTCAAAAACAGAATCAATACTCGGCCAGCATTAATCTAACTCAGTGTACTGTATCCAACTTTCTAAATGTCTGGACTGTGAGCGTCCCCAGATGCCTCTAACTTGTAAGAGTTGTTTATTTTCCCCTTTCTCTCCTCTCTGAGCTCCTTGACTTCTGATTGCATCAAGAAGAAGCCCCCAGAAGGATGAAAGCCCTGGACCGCCACCCAGTCCTGAGAGTAGGGTGACCAGCTGACCCAGTTTTAGCACCTAAGTCCCACCGCTGAGGAAGTCCTCCTGTCCCATGGACCCAGAGGGTTGTTCGCTCTGCCTGGGAGCCTGGCACCCGGATCAGGCCCTGCGGGATTATCTCGTCTGCACTCTATTTGACTTCAAAGCCGGTGCAATTTGTTTCCCTTTACAGAATTATTTCACTCATACTCCTGGGAGTCTTGTCAGATGTGATTAGAGTTGAATTTGGGCAACACAAACGAAATGAAAAGAAGGAAATGGAACTATACTTTTTCCTGCAAAAACTGGTTAAGAGTTGAGATACTGAAGGGGTTAAAGAGGGGTATGCATGCCTCTGGATCACACGTGGGGGGGGGGGAGTGAGCTATATACACGGGAAGGGACAGAACAGGCAGGCAGAGACTCTGACCTGAGAGGTAGCTCCCTGAAGATGGGGAGGTGGCCCAGGGGTGGCCAGGACAGCACAGTCACCCACACTGACCTTTAGGGGGCGCCATCAGCCTGTGATAGTCCTGGTGCCTTGTGGGGCAAGTTGGGAGGCAGAAGTGGACCTTGAGGGCGCCGCCTGCAAGTACACAGCCGGCCACCTCGAGGGCCGGGCGCGCAGGCCTGAGTGTCTGCCATCGGGGGGCTGGATCCCTCCCACTAGCTCCAGCTGAGGTGAGCACCGGCCTCCTGCAGCCCAGGCTCCCTCCTTCCCGCCTTAACTCACTGGCCTCTTTTACTTGGAAAAGACTGAGAAACCCCATCCCAGCAATCGCTCAGGGGCTGTACCCTCAAGAGGAAGGGCTCGGAAAGGCGGCTAACAGCTCGGAAGGGCGAGGCCGGGCCTCCCATGCTGTCCCTGTCCCCGGGCTGCTCCCAGAGGGCACGGGCCTCGGTCGCCAGCCTGCATGAATAGGAGCTGATTGCCCACTGCCGCGCCACGAGGATTGATGTGGATTTCTTCCGTTTAAAATGTTCTGAGAGAACTGTTACTTCAAAGGGGAGATTTGTGTGAGCACAGTGAACATTCGGGCCCGATTCCAAAGCCACTAGGGTGTCCACCTTCTTTGTGAGAACGTGCCTCTGAAAGCAGAGGGGCGGCCCAGCATCACCTGGTAACCTAGGCCCAGCATCACCTGGTCCAGCATC